TGAAATTTGATTAAATGAATAGCTCACTATGTTCAAAACTTAGAGAGATTTTCCCATCTAGACTGGCATCTAAACCAGTCTAGAAAAAAAGGTACAAAGAATATAAAAAATTGGCATATAAGACACAGCCATTTAATAAACATCTTATTAACCAAGCTAGGCCAGTCTGTATAGGAGAATCTTGACCTTATTTGCTGGTACAGACCTCACTGTGTTCGGTCTGTACTGTCGACCTCGGTCAAGATTCTCCCATACAGACCTCCCACTTGGTTAATAAGAACCAAATATCAAGCAGACAAATGATGAGAATAAAGAAAATAGAAAATCAGGGGATTATCACTTGATCCAATACTAAATTCTCCAAACTAACATCATAAGAACTGTATGGCAGATGGTAAGGAGAATTGCTAATGAGATCTTGGGAGTTAAAAGAGTCAAGACCTGGCCAGGTCAGGGTGGTGTGTTTTTGGGCCAAAACACCTTTTTCTTACTGTGCCTCTCTCGGCCCAGTAGAATAAACGGGTACGGGTGAATTGTCAGGGAAGCCTTATGAAATGCTGGGGGGGGTAACTTTACAATAGACTGGCATCCCTTCCAGGGGGGAGTAGTAATACTCTTAGTTACTTCATGCTTAGGAAACTGGGACATGTTCCAGCTGGGCGGGCCTTAGGCCCAAATAAAAACCTTCTTTTCTTCAAATAGTAGTCTAACAGCTGGCATAGTTTGTGATTGGAATCCAAATTCTAGAAGATAACATTAACCCAATTATTAACCCAATCACTCCCTAGGTTCATTAATCAACTCTCCTTACTGTCTTTTATACAGTTCTGATCATTCTAGATCTGAGAATATAGTCAAATAAATCTGGCAGTCTATATTTTTCTTTGTTCTCACTGCATTTCTGCTGAAAAATCCATTGGTAGTGTAAGGATAGTATAGTCACCCCTGGAAGTCAAAGGGTAATTGGGACACATAGCGACAAATGATTTCTATTGTCAACAACAAAAGCAGTCATTTCATGTAATAATTTTTCAAGGTGTGTATTTAAAATTCATTGAATATCATATGCAATTCTCATTTGTTGGATTGTATACCCAAACAAGTGGGTCAGATATAGGTCACTTAAAAGGGCATCGTAATGGTGTTGATATCAGTTGGCATATTTTTTCTTGTAGGAAATTTGTTACTGTCTGTTTAGTGTTAAGAAGGGATCTCTTTTATTTCAGCTCTTCCCATGGGGTGATGGCAACCACTCATTGTTCCACAATCCGCATGTAAATCCTCTGCCTGATGGTTATGAAGATGAAATGGAACATTAAGTGTGACTTCTATTCCTCGTTGTTTGCGCTGATCACTACTATTACTGAGGCTTGTTCCTGATGGTTAAGTCATTTTGAGGAATGGTTTTTTGGCTTATGATGGTGTTACTACCTGTGTGACAGTGGAAAAATTGTAAAATGGATGCAAATAAAGTTTGAAATTTCCAAATCTGTTTTATTCAGTATAGTTAATTGCAAATATGTTGTGTATGGAGTAAAATTTCAACCCTGTGGTCAAGGGTCAAAAGCTTTTTTTTAAAAAAAAAAAAAAAAAACACTAGTTAGGAATGACGCTTCTTAGACTCCCAGATTGATCATGACAGTATTTGTGTCAAAACACAAATAAGTAGATTCATTTACTCCCCTGTTCATTTTGTTTGAAAAAGCTGCATGTTAGCCATCTTGGAAGAAGTTCTGATAACTGAACTAGCAATGCAAATACAGCGTAAACCCTTGCTTCTGAAAGGATGGTCATGAAATTTTTGAATCAAAGGGTTTGGTCTAGTGGTGTGATTAACATGCACTAGGGGGGCTCACAAAAATCTGACATCCACTTACAAGAAAAAAGTGTTGGATTCCATCTTAATTATCAAGAATCTTTCCTTGCTTTATGCTAAAACACTGATAAGCACAATTGAAGTTGGTTGGAATCACTGTCCTTATCCTATTGTGTGATTGGCTAATTTTTTTTCAAGTGACCTTGATAATTATGGTGGTGCCACTGAAGTCTGGATCTAATTGTCTGGGTTCCATTGTCTGGCTACTATTAACTGTATCCATAAATAAACCTATTATTTACAAAGTTGTCACCTTGAGGGCAGCGTTATTTTCATACTGGGAGAGACTCTTGTCTGTCCTCTGACAATTGAAGAAGTCTGCTTTTAATCAGTGTTTAAAAGGGCTTGTGAAAATATGTGAAACAGTGGGAGCAGACTTATACAGTACATCGGCCATAATGGGGAGTTTGTGGCTAGGTGACATAGCCACACCTTAAATATGAGAGTGGCTGATTTGGGAATTAAAAACCTGGGCATGACCTTGTTCTTGGCATAATAGAAAGCCGCAAATTCTTTAACTGTAAAACTAGGGGTAGAAAAGTAATATTTTGCATAATTATTCCATCTTACTCTTTTTTTTCACTCATTTTACTAATGTAAAGATTTTTAGGTTATTTATGCTTCAACCTAGAGCACACATCTTCCATAAATGGAATGGAGCAATTTCACATAATTGATTTTATGCTGGTAAGACACTTGGAACAAACATTCCTAAAACTCAGGATTATTCTGAATACAAGCGCCTTATAATTAGAAAGTTAAATTTATTACCTTTGAAGTATTTAAGAGAAATTAATGATTTAGTCTTCTTTTATATATGGTTGAACATTTTCAATTATGTATTGTTTTGCTTTTGTACCAAACTGCTTAGGAATGTTGATCATTTAATCCTTGATGTCCCTTTCGGCAGGACTGATGTCTTTAAGAATCCTTTTCCTGTTCGGATTTGTTGACTGTGGAATGAATTACCTCTTAGCATAAGAGAGTCAAATACCTTGTCAATCTTTCGTAAGAATTTGATGGCCTTTTATTATGATAAGTTTGATATGTAAATTTTTTCTAATTTTGAATTGCATCTTTTTTTAAGGATATATATTTTTTATTAATTTATAACTCAATTATTTCTCTAGCTATATATATGATGTAATAATAGGTGGCTTGATTTAAAGGAGTCTTGTACTCTGTTTTAAGCCTACCTCAGATTGAGCGATTGATTGATTTAATCAGCTTTGTGACTGTAAAATCTGAAATTTGATTAAATGAATAGCTCACTATGTTCAAAACTTAGAGAGAGATCAAAGCCACTACCTGTGTAAATATCCACGACAATCAAGTGATCAAGTGGTCCTCCCTGACCCCAAGGAGTCAAAAGCACAGGGTCACTATCCATCCCTGGGTGGGAGGAGAACTTAAACCTGAAATAACATTGACAGAGGGATATTTGTGTCTGCTTGGAATATTATATTTAGTGATTTTGAATCAAAAGGGGTAAGTTCATTTTAAGACTGTTGTGCATCTAAATGGGTGCTTACAAAAGGTGAAAGTATATTAGAGAAATTTCCACGAAACCGCCTTTATTTTAAATTTTCGCTAACGATCTCAGTCACTCCCACAACAAGTTTCTTTAATACGCCTTGCGTGCCTATCGTTCACTAGATGGACATTACAGTGGTGTTTACTTGATAGATTATTTTGATCAACATCACACTCACATTTGATGATAACAGTGAGCTTTGCAGACCCTGTAGCTGGTGACATTTAATAGACAGGTAAGCTATTACCGCCATTTATTGCTCATTATCCACTTTGAAAAGTAACTTCCGCCTCGATTGGTCACCTGCCAAGTGGTTCTAGATGTTCTTTAAGGGAGTAGAAGTTGTATTCCGACCCGATGTGTTTGGACGCTTCATGCGTAAATTCATGCGTAAACACAACTTTCACACTAAATTACCATATCGCATTTTTCCTGTCATGGGAGTCACGGTATCTTCTAACAGAGATAAGAAGGTTGTTGTGGGTAGAAAAACTGTCCCTGAGCCATCGTTTGCCAGTTTTTCTACAACTGGGACGCTGACTACGGAAACGGGAGAAGGTGAGCTTTGTAAGATCTAAAGAAGGGTGTTGAGGTCTTCGGGCTCATTTTATTCAGAATGTGTCTTTTTCAATGCGAATATTAATGCGTAATTGTGATTCACACCTGAAAGCAAAACTAGGAAGGGATGTGTTATCTTTTTGAAAAACCATCAAGAGTATGCTTCTGAATGCGTTGAATTTGGCAGAAATACGGTGAGACCTCCTGTAGCGTGGACTTACCTGAAGCAAAGTTTTATCGAATTATTTACTCGAGGATATTACAATTCGAAAATTTGTTTAGTGAGCATTTGATGAATATTTTCTCGAACTGTCAGTCGTGTCAAGCGTTAATTTAACAAAATTTAGGAGTAAATTCACCGTTGAAGGAAATAGATATGGAAACCGCATACTATTTGTGTGGCAAGTTGAACCTTTCTGATTAAACAAAGGGTATCAAATGTTGGTCGCTAGAGAGATTTCACGTAAAATAATCTGTCGAAAATATGTGTTATTATTCGTTGCTCCTCCTCGAAAATCAGATTTCATATTAAATTGTTTTTGCTGCAAGGGATTACATATGCATTGAGATAATTGAGATTTCCTTCTCTTTTTATTTATCTCAGCGTAATTTTCTACATGAAAGTGGCTGATATAACAACTCAATGACTGGTTTTTACTACTAGTAAACATAAGCATCTTAGCGGCAGCTGACTTCCGGAGAGGGAGGGCCTTAGTGAGGAACGTGAAGCAAGGGGTATTAGATTGGATTACTATAGCTCAGGAAAATTGAGTTTTAACCACAAACTTAGTGTATTTGTCTCTATTCTGCTCTGGTTTTGTTTCCTCTAGTCTGGTCATGCTAGAGGGCCCCCTATACTTGTTATGTGAAGCGTGATTGGGCAATTTTTTTTCTCATGAATCTTGATTGACTTTTTTTTTTTTAATTCATGAATTGTGATTGAAGATAATAAGATCTTTTGGTTTTCACATGAACAGATTTCCTATTTAAACGTGACCTGTGATTATGAGCTGAAGTAGACATAACTTGGCAACCATTTTGTTTTGCATGATGAATTTCCATCATTTTATGGTTTTGCAAATGTATGTATTGTTATTGAACAGCTGTGGTTAGGTTTCGACAGGAAATGGACTTGATATGGATGGATGAAAGTCATAAAACAGACCACTTAATGGATCTTAAAGAAATAAAATAATTTGTAAGACAGTATGTCATTTTTTGACGCGTAAGACTTGCCAAGACTAGAAAAAGTAAAAATATTAATTTAAAATGATTGTCTCGAATTTTGCATAAACATGAAGGAGTTCTGGATATTATTCGCAATGTTTGAAAAGGTCAAATATTTTTATGTGACATCAGTTTTGCAATGGGGTATAGGGGACCCTCATGCTAAGAATGATCTTAGCTCAGATTTCAGAATTACTCTCCTCATCAGAACACACCATTGTGCTCTCTATAGCATTATTTTAACTTGTTGCTACCTTTTTTTGATTCCTGTAGAGCTAATAAGAGTCAGTTACAAAATAGACTTATTTGTGTTTTTTTCAAAATCTATAGGAACATTTGCAGAAAGCTCCACCATGATTGAGGTTAATGTGGGCCAATATGATGACTGCCTGCAAGATGGAAGGTAATTGTTAGATTTTCCCTATTTTGGGGTTCCCTGTTCTATGTTGAAGCTAGTGTCATGAGACCTGTTTTCCATATTTGGTACTGTACACGAGGTTTTGATCCTAAATCAAAAACAGTCCTTACCGCCATCTTGATCTGGTTTACTGTGTTCCCGGCCTTGTATTCGGAATACACTACAATTTCTTTGTCGTTCATATAATTTGAACTGCGGTATTAGATATGTATGATGCACGATCCTCGCAGTAGATAGTGCTATTTATGCAATAGCGAAAATCAGACCTGAAAAAAAAAAAGTATATATTTATTCTATCTCATTTATCAGTTTCACGGGTTTATTACAAACCAACTTAACGGCCTGCTCCCAGTTGGCTTGTTAGCTCAATTGGTAGAGGGCTGCACTAGTATCGCAGAGGTCAGTGGTTCGAGTCCCGATTGATTGATTT